AGTTAATGATTATTCAATAGGTCACTCATGTATAGCTCTATTTATTTTCTTTAGAAGCCACTTTGAAGATACCAAAGTATAGTACAACAACTATTGATAATCTACCTCTTTTGTCTGTAACTCACTATTATTTGTCTATTTGTTTTCCTGAGAAACTATTTTGTAGATAACAGTATGTAAAAGAATAACCATTAATAATTTCCTACCACTTTGTCTGTAATTTGGTAAGCCCCCCCATTATTATGCTATCCTTCTTTTACTCTTTAAAATAATAAAAAAATGAAACCAACCAACAAGGAAAACATACTTTATGAACATCTGATCTCACCTTCAAAACTTGCTGATATTACAGGAATGAATGGCATCCACTTCAGTTGTGACACTGAAGCTCCAATACTTGCTGTGTATGGGGGCAAGGACCTGTAATCCCTGCACTCAGGAGGCTGAGGCAGGAGAATCATGCAAGTTTCAGACCACCCTGCTTGACATAGTGAGCTCAAGACCAGCCTGAACTGCGTAGTGAGACTCCCTCTCAAAAAGATGTAAAAATAATTATAAAATAATAAGAAAACAATCCATTACTATCCCAGAAGGCAAGGAGGGACAATTGTCTCTTGGCCACAAGACCTTAAGGGTGTTTCCAAGGAGATCAGCTGAGGGAACTGGCTTGAGGAGATGAAATCTTAGATGGGAGCTGTTGCAGAGCTGAGTGTACAGACCCTATGGGCAGACAAATGGGTTACACATTTCCAAGTTTCCTTAGGGAGGTTACAGAGGAGGAAACTCGGGTCAAACACCAAGACTCAGTCATCCTAGTGGATCTGACCAATGGCCTTTGCCTTTCATGTCAGGGTTCTTCTCACAGGGACATTTCCCAGGAAAGATGGATCCACTGGCAGTGGCCAGGGCTTTCAGCCTGAAAGAGAATGATATTAGGCAAAGCAAAGGTCAGGTTGAGTGCAAAGCAGTTCAGGAACTGAGGTCACCTAAACTGAAAAGATCTTGGTGCCTTTTGTTTGATTTCTTCTGAGTTTCTTGGCCCTGGGGATCAAACACTATACCTTCGTCCCACCCTGCTAGTCTGTTTCTTGTTTTGCTTTGTTTGTGTACAGTGCAGCGTCCCTGCAGTCCCCGGAGAGCAGCTTTCCCTTGGGCAGTGAAGCACTTTGTCAGCACAGCCAAGGACCGAAACCTGAGTCTGCTCAATCCACCCATGACCAGTGTCAAGGATTTTGGTGTCACGTTAAAACTGAGAGTACCAGGGAGGGAGTTTTTCCCATTTCTCTTACACTGTTCCAGGCATTAATTGTGGCCCTTGTACCACAGGATCCTGTCACCAAATGGTTTCATGTCACAGTGGCATACGTGGACTCACTTTCCGTAGAATGTTTGCATTTGTTTCTTGTGACTTGGGCTCATCAGTGGCCTCCCACAGCAGGCGTGTTTCTGATCACAACCCCTGCCCTTCCCAAAGGAGCCCCACTTTAGAGAGTTGGTCTCTGAAATGAGTTTCACTTTCACAGTCGTAGATCAATCCAAGAGAGGCCCAGAAATAAGGAAGAAAACACAGAGCATAAATGTCCACAGCTGTTATCAGGGCATTCTGGGACATTAGGGCTGAGCCTTACAAGTGCATGTCCAGCCTACCCATTCAAGAGGGCTTTGTCTAAAAACTTAAAGCTCTGTGGCTGCAGCTCATTGGCAACGCTCTACAATGAGTTCCACTGACGTGGGTGTGTTAAGTAGGAGGACAGAATGCAGGAAACACGGAGGGAACATGTGGCTGGAGAAAACCAGTGGATGGGAGGGAATGATCAACATGAAATATCTCTAGTTTTTACTCTTATTTCCTGAGGCCAAACCTCACTGATCCAAAATCCCAGGGCCTTTCTTTTCTGTTGCTGCGGATTCATGAGCTCTTAGCTGGAAACCAGGTAAAGTGATCACGGAGGAAACCAGATGA